CTCCGCAGAGGGGCTGCGCGTGCGGCGGTGGGGGGCGATCGCCGCGGGGAAGGGCTTGGCCGCGGCTGCGTCACTGCAGGGGGTCTGTGACACCCAGACTGGGTCCGTGTCGCAGAAAATGGGGGAGGTGGGCATGGGCGATTTGTTGGCTGTGTAGACAGGGAAAGCAGATACTGGACTGCAGCACCAGGAGGGCTTCACATCGGCTGCCCGCACGGCTTCTGTTTGCTGCATCACGACCAACTCTTCCCTTGATTCTCTCCTGCGTGGAAACCCGTTCAGTGGCTCCAGAGTTGGGGCGATGTGGGGCTCGGGGAGGTGAGGGTGCGTTAGCCTGTGTCCGCCGCTTAGGCTCGCCTGTCACCTACTGGCGTCCGCAGGGAGGGTGCCGATTCTCCCCTAATGCGCTGGGGAAAGGGCCGATTGCTTTTTGGCTGGGGTTCATCAGCTCCCCGCCTCCCCCCCCGCCCCCCAGCAGTGGTGTTTTTTAAAGGTACCACGTATAAGGAAAAAATGGGAGCGTCCTCTTCCCTTTAGGCAGAAAAAGTTGAAGAAACTAGGCATGTTAATAATTAGCAGGACCGGGACTCAGAATGCAGCAGAAAGCTGTTCAATTTTCATTGCCCTCTAAGAAAACAAACGGCATCGCCGGTGACTATTGGCAGCGCCGCGTTATTTGGGGGACTTCGGGAAAACTGTCCACAGATTGCCTTCAGGAGGCTGAAGAAGGAGGCGGGGGTGGGGGAGGGACGGCTGGCATCGCCCTGAGTCCCAGCTTGCCTAAGGAGGGTTCAGAATCACAAGCCAAACACGTTTGGTTGCTGATTTTGAGGTGGATGAGAGGCAGAACTGCGGCCCTGAGCAAGATGAAGAACACAGCATGGGGGCGTCCTGGAGGAAAAGAACATGGAAGGGTCCTGCCTCTCCCAGGAGCTCAGATGCATTTGTGCTATAAAAAGCATGCATATATATGTAGCTTTTCCGTTGGGTCTCCTGAAGGGCAGATTGTACTCAATGAAACTGTATTTGTGCATGCGGTATAGTTTTGTCTCCCTCCCCATTTTCATCAGTACTTGGGAAGGCAGTGTCTGCAGCTGATGTTACATAATCGATGTGTTCAACCATTGGCTGTTTTTTAGCGTGCTTTTGGAGTAGAAGGAACTTCCATCTGTTACTTCAGACAAACCCAAGGTGTAGACGAGTGAGGGTTGCTGACTGTTTGCTCTGGTCCGGCTCCAGATGTGTGAGCTCAGCTGTTGCCTGTCACTTAGGTGACAACTGGCCTTTTCCCACTAAGCCTTTGCTGTCTGTGTTATCCTTAGTGAAGTGTCAATGCTCAGCCGCCTTCTATTATCAGAGTGGACTCTAGCCCCTTGGGAGGCGGCAGCCTTGTTTGACCATCCAACAGAATTTCTGTTTTCAGACTCTAGGAAGAAAAAAAAAATCCTATGACAGCAAGATAGATACATTTTGAATTGAGCACCAACTTAATCCAAAGATTCTGCTTTAATCAAGACAGCTCTGGAAGGATGACGCAATATTTGTCAAGCCTTTTTCTCTGGAACAATATTTACTCCCACTGGGGGATTTTCAACTTAAACAGCAGCCATTTATCTTGCTGTCTGGTGGGGCCCGGTTCAGTTGGCCTCCATGTGGTCCTAGCCTAGGTGGCTGGGCCCGGCCTGGGACAGGAATCTGTCATTGTAGCCCCAGCTGGAGCCTGAAGAAAGCAAAACACAGCACCTGCTGGTACTGGGGGGGGGGGTGGTTTCTAAATGCATCAACTGGTGAGTCAGGAAACAGAGAAGGAGATATTTTACAAGGCCTTCCAGAAATGTTTATACAAAGGATTTAAAGGTTAGCAATGCACGCACTCTACATATTAAAACGCAAAGGTGCTAGAAATAAATGGACATTACCCGCAGTTGAAAGTTAGCACACTTGCTGATAAACTTGAAAATCTCTGCTTTAATAAGCCATGGCTAACATTAGCGATTCCTTCTTGTGACTAAGCCTAGGAAGAAAGGAAGGAGGGAGGAAGAGGGAGTTTTGGAGGACCAGAGGGCTGGGTAGGACATAGAGGTAACCATATTGATGTGAGTCGATGGGTGTAGTACATTAATTTTTCCCTCCTTAATTTGTTACTGATGGGTGATTTATCAATGAGTGAGCCTATTGGTTCACAGGTTTCTAAAGAAAAGTGACATATTTTACTAAAGTGACAGATTCAATTAGTTCTGCCAGCAATACCAATGAAACTTAGTGTATCATGTTTTTAAAATCAAGGTCCATGGAACCACCATTTGTCTCTACAATAAAAGAGGTTGTAATGAGTCAACTTGGGTCACTGAAATAAAATCAAATGCTAGCTAGGGGGAAAAAAACCCTTATAAGGTTAATACCTAAACTATTAAGTTTAGAGTCAGATGTGGGTAAAAGTCTGCTTATTCCAAATATTCTCTGCTATGATAACTCTGAAAAGACACAAACGAAAAAAGATTAAAATTTAAAGTGTCTTAATTTGGATTTTAAAAAGTAAGCTGAAATCTAAGTTTTATAATTGACACTGTAAGATCATTAAAACTTTTTGTAATTTATCTGAAAACAAAGCACAGAGAGTTGAGTATTATGAATGACTGCTTATAATTATGAGTGACTGTTCATGAAATGGAACAAGAATTTTTTAAATTATTTTCCAGTAATTAACTCTTTTAGTGATGTAGACCTGTAGCTGGGTTATCCATATTCCAGGAAACAGTTTTCAGAGAAGATTATCATTAGCAGTTAATTTTCTGGTTAAAGCAGTTTATAGAGTACATTTTTCCTTTTAAAGAAGGAAAGTAATTTAAAAAGTCAAAGCAATTCTCCTCTGTGCATAGAAATGGCAAAGATGCCTCTAGACCAGAATAGACTCTTTCCCCTTGGGAAGAAAAAAATTATCCTTTTCTCCCCCTCCATTTTATATAAAATAGTTCTAATTGTTTCATTCTCATTAGTGTGACCATATTCCGTTTGCTTAAATCTGGGTATAATTATTTCGCAATGAAGAGGAGTTAAGGGAGTGAATGGGTTGTGTTTCTTGGTTGGTTGGTTGGTTGGTTGGTTGGTGTTTTAAGGGGCCATTCCTGCCTTTTATTCTGCTCATAGAAGACAGCATGGCCATATTGTGCACTATTATCTTTAGAAGATTGGTGTGACCGAACAAGCGGGGAGAGGAAAGTACAGTCGTCTTGGTGCCAAGTCCTGCATTGGCTGCTGTTTCTCGAAACCTCGGGCGGCACGTGGAGCCAGAGCAGAGTGCCAGGGCCCGGGCTGGAGTCAGGGAAGCTGCAGAAGCATCCCTTTTCTGGAATTCTCCATCTCCGGATACCCACAAGAGTAGCTCCTCAACTCCACCAGGAACCAGGAACCAGCCTTCTTGTTTATGGCCTGCAGAGCTGAAGGCCCAGAGGTTACCTCCTCGTGTGGGTGGAGGAACATTGTGGAACAGTGGGAAAGGCCTGGCCCGAAATTGCACAGGGGCTCCACCCCAGCCTCTGTTTCCCTCCCCTTCCCACCCCCAGCACCTCCCAAAGGAGGGATGGTGAGAAGAGACATGCTTTGCAAGTTGGAGCACGCTGATGTCATGACACTTCTGGCGCAGAGACACGACAGAATAATCGGATCCCTTTCCTGCGTGCCAGAATGACACGATTTTTCCAAGACCCATTCCCCAGCCAGGGGTCCACTGGCACTGACTATTTCCAGTTCCTGGGGGTTGGAGAAGAGGGGGGAATCAGACCTCTCGAAGAGAATGTAATAATTCTTCCTGTGTCTCTGTTCCGGGTGCTCATTTAGACTAAACTTTAAATGCATCTTGGTCCCTTTTGAAGGGACCTCTCTAGGAACAAGAATGATTGCCCAGCCTGAACTGATTAGACCTTTCCAGATTCATTTCCCTGCGAGGAGAGATTTGAAAATGAAAATGAAAATAAAAATGTCAGCAAGGCAGAAGCCAATGTAAACATTTTAAAACTTAGAGCCGTAAACTAGCAAGCAGCTGTCATTTACCTCTACTTAACTTTTTCCCTCCTTTCCATAATTTGGTCCTAAGTGATCCTGAAAAAAAATAAAACCACTGACCAATTAAACAGCAGTTGCATTTTTCTCACTGGTAGATTTGGGGTAAACTCGTGGGACAGAAGCCTTTCATTTCTAGTGGATTACACTTCAGGGAAAAAAAAAAAAACACGTTAGGGCTGTGTTATTTCAGTTGTTGGAGAACTGAAGTCATGTACTCCCTTCTGAGAATTTTGTCCCAGTTGCTGATTTATAGCTTTTGCTTTGTGTACGTGTCTCTCTGTCTTCTTCTCTTCTGGTTGGGCCTCTGGAAAGAAAGCGTTGTCAATAATACAGTGAAAATATTGTAGTCAGATGCGCTGGGTAAGGAGACCTCTCCGTGCACGGCGCACTCCCCGAGCTGCCCTGCTTTTATCTGAGGGGCAGATCCCACAGCTCACAATTATGGTCTTTGACTTTGGTAACAATTCTGTTTGAAATGTTTCCAATTACACACAATATTGGCGGCATGTAGCAGCTGCACGCCAAAAAAGCATTTCCAAGTGTGTTCCAAGAATCAGGCTGTGATTGCTTTTAATTTAAATAAAGGCTATTTGGTTTCCTGTGAAGTTTTTTATAACCACCTCTGACCAGCAGCCCCCTGCCCATTTTTTGTTGCCTTAAAAAAAAAAAAAAGTCTGGTAGAAACTAGCCACCACTTAATGTGATACAATATTGGCCCTGGTTTTTCTAGGATGGCCTTTGGCTTTGCACAAGCATGAGAACGGTTCAGTAAAGGAAACTTTAAAGAAACGTTGTGCAGCAGTTTGGATTTCCCCAAAGAAGAAAAGAAGGAAAGGTTATCTGATAACATATTGTAAGTAGCCAATGTCTTCCTCCCCCTGCCCTCCTCCTTTAGGGATCTGTCATTATAATGATCTTTTTAGGTCCCTGAAGATTATTTGGTATGGTGTCCTTCCTTCAGATTCTTCTGTTTTTCTTTTTGTGAGCCAATGAACATATGTTAAGGACACATTGAAAGGTAGAGAAGGGGTGGGAGGTCTAGCTTAGTGGTAGAGTGCATGCTCAGTGTGTACAAGGTCCTGGGTTCAAGCCCCAGTGCCTCCCTTAAGGGGAAATAAATAAACAGCTAGAAATAAATCATATATACGTGTATATATATATATATATATATATATATATATATATAAGAAAGGTAAGAAGTAAGAGAACAAAGTAAAGTAAATTAAACTTTAAAACCGTTTAAAAACCGGTTAACGGGGGTTACGGGGTAACGGGTAAGGGTAGGGGTAAGGGGGGGTAA